ATTAAATTGAATAAATTTGAAATACAAGGGTAAATTTATAACAGGTGACCAAAATGAATTACGCATCAAAATTACATGGACTATGGAAATAATTTAAATATTTCTTAATTGCACAATAGCTCTACCTATAAATAGCCCTTAAAACCCAAAATATCATCAATTTCTCTCATTTCTCAAATCCAAAACCCTCTCTCCTCTCTAAACTTTCTCCACACTCCCAACCGACCTATAGCCGACCGTCCTCCGGTGGAGCCCTACCGTCGCTAGCCACCGCTCTGGCAGTCGAAAAAAACCAAACTTCCCCAAAATGTTCCTCCGACCTCCTAAACACCATTCCGTAGCTCGATTGCTCAACAAAGTACCAAATTGGCGTAGATCTACAAATAAACGTTTGGGATCTTACATTTCGCGAGACTCTTTGCTTTTTCGATGACCTTTGGCTTTCCCCACCGTTCTTCCTTCCATGTGGTTCCGACGCCGAATATATTTTTTGTGATTTTTTTACTTTCAAATGCTTTGGTTTGCTTGCCTTGTTGGCTTTGTTGGCTTGATTATCCCCTTGTTGTTTCTTGTTGTATGCTTCGTTATATGCTTCATTGTGTTTCATTGTCTCTTTCATTATGGTTCATCGGTGGCCTTTTATAGCCTCTGGAAATCGGTTGTAACCCCGATTTTATCAGGATTTAGTTGTGGTCGATTCTCTTAGCGTGGTGTAAATGGTTGTTTGTGGGTTGACCGAAAACCCCAGGATAGTGCAATCCCGAGTTTTTCAGTCGAAAATCTCGGCCAATTTCTGTTGTTGTCGGCTGCGCTGCTTGCTTGGTGTAAAAACCCTAATAGACTTATGGGTTGGGTCAGGCCGGCATGTTCAAACGGGTTCACCTGCTGTATTGTATTTGGATCTGGACCCTGCCTAATTGGACCGAAAATAAGAAAAATAAATATAATAAATAATAAATAAAATAATTAAAATAAAATGGAAAATAAAATAATATGTATATTTCAAAAAATATGTTTCCAAGACTATATGTTTTCCAAAAATAATCATTTTAAAAACTATATATTATATGTTTTTTAAAAAACTATATACTATATGTTTTCAAAATATTTTTAAAAACTATATATTATATGTTTTCAAAAAAACGTTTCAAAAACTATATTATATATACGTTTTCAAAATATTTTAAAAACTATATATTATATGTTTTCCAAAACCGATTTTAAAAACAATATATTATATACATTTTCAAAAATATGTTTTCAAAACTATATATTATACTTTTTAAAAACTTGTTTTCAAAATCATATTATACATATATTTTCAAAAAAATCTTTCAAAAACTATACTATATTATTATATATTAAAAAAACTGCAGACGAAAATGAATGTCTACATTCATCTTTTATAAAAAAAATGACATTTTATTATTTTCATAAAAAATAAGTTTAACATGACTAATACAATTATTTGTCACACATTATTATGTCTCTTGCTTTTGTATGACAATTTGATATCATACGCTTATGTCACTTAATGTTTAATAATAAACATAAAAAATAGTCAATTTTTTTAGCAACGTGTTGAATTTGTCACTAATTCAAAATAATATTAATAACAAACTTTAAAATATTTTTAGATTTTAAACTCATAATTCCAATCGTTCCATTTAGTTTTCCACAAATTGTATGCTCTTATATATTTTATAATATATATATATATATATGAAGGATCCAAAAACCCTAATCATATGAATTAAAATTAATTCAATCCTTAAATGTTTTTCACCCAATTGAACCTTTAAACTAAGAAATTAAATTAATTAAGTCATTAATAAAACAATAATTTAATTAAATCATCAAACTATAAAATTAAATTAATTATTATTGTCCCCTTAAACTATATCTCTTTTATAGGGGGTTTTATCGAAATATCACCCTCAGACCCATTAATTACCTATTAGGCACCCTCTCTCCTAATATTATTGATCTAGTATCATTTCTGATAAAGTGACAATAAAGCGCGGATCACCATCCGTGCCTTCGCGTGGTTCTTTCCGAACTAGAACCACGTAAGGATAGACGCGGATCATTATTTGCACCTTCACTGAACCTCTAACATATGCAGAACGCACGGATCATGAAGCGCGCCTTCCGTGGGAAATGTTGACATGACGTCACGTGAGGGAACGTTTCAAGGGGTTCGCCTTCCGAAATACACATCATCCCTTAAAGCATTTAAAAAAAATATTTTTTAAAAAAAATTAAAAAAAAATTATATAGAATAACATCGTAATTTAATACATATTAGTTCCATGAGTTGAAGAGCTTAATGGGGCTAGCTTATATAGACATATTGAAGTGTTTATGTTATGTTTCTTGACAATATGAGATAAAAGCTAAAAGGTGTATTCCTTAACTTTTTTTATCTTTATATCTAATGAATCTACTTATGCACTATTATTAAATTACATTAGGTTAATATTTATTATTAAGGTTTATATTAATTAAGATTATATATTTTTATATGTTAATATATTTAAATAATTATGTTAGGTTAATATTTATTATTAAGGTTTATATTAAATTAAATTTTAAAGTTTGTATATATTAAAGGGGAAATTGTATACTCCTGTAAAATCAAATATAAGATTAATTATATTCGGACGGCTCAAACACCTTAAAATATTGTATGTTCTTTTGTTTTAAATCTAGATTATGAGATAATGGGTAATTTTCATGTAATTTATTTAATTATATGTTTTTGCTATTGTAATTTGAGATGAAATAAGCTACAAGATGTTCTTCCTTATTAAATTGGCAAGCTTAAGAGTCTAACACATCTGTAAGAAGCAATTGGAAATATTTTTTTCACATTATGATAATCAAGATCATTCTTTCCTACTAAATGAAAAATTGATTAGGTATCTGAGCTTCAACAATTTTAAAAGGGAGATCCCGGAGAAGTTAACAATAGTGTATAAGTAGATTCATTGTATATAGAGATAAAAAAAATTATAGAATACACCTTTTAACTTTTATCTCACATTGTCAAGAATCATAATCTAAACACTCTAATATGTCTATATAAACTAACCCCATTAAACTTTTTAACTTATGAAACTAATATGTATTAAATTATGATGTTAATCATTATAGTTTTATTTTTTTTAAAATAACTATTATAATTAATAATATTTATATATTACTAAAATATATTAATCTTAATATTATATATATATAACTATAAAAAATAAAACTTTATGAAAAACGAAAGAGAACCGTTTCCATTCCCAATATAATAATTATCAAAATATAATAATTATTATAATAATTGTTTTATGGGAAAATAGAACTCATTTCATCTTCAAAAGGGAAAACCCTAAACTACCATTTAAGTTTCCATCGTGGCCATCGCCGCTCAGGTGTTTTGCCTAATTTTTTTCGATTTCTTCATCACCAACTTGAGGTCGGTATCTCTTCCCCCCCCCCGGCCCGAAATTTTTACCCTAAACTACCACTTTTCATTCTCGGTTTCTTGGAATTCAAAAGTCGCCGGAGAAAGAGGGGATGTTGTGTCTGTGTGGTTGTTAAAGCCATTCATCATCACCGGAACACACGAAAGGTTGATAACAACTGTTTATTACTATTTTATTTTCAAATATTTGTTATGGGTTCTATGTTGGTTCTGTCGATTTTTGCGTGTGAAGGTTCCTGATGGATACGACGTTCATCGGAAGAGAGATGTGATGCTGGTGACGAGCCTGTTCATTCGTTGGCTGCCTGTCTGGTTGAGGATGCCATAAACTGTGAAGATTGGGAGATTAGGAGGAACATGTGCTGATTGTGAAGCTTTGCTTCAACAAAAGCTTCAACAATACTGAGCATATTGCATTTTATATATTTTTTACTTCACAAGGCTAACGAAAAAGTGTTGGATAAAATATCAAACTATTATTTTGTTCAAATATGTAGTTAGATAGATGCCAATAAAATAACTTTAGCAATATAAGCATGAAAAATAAAATAGCAAAAATCCCAGTATGATTGTACAAAATTTTCTTGTTTCCGACTAATAAAGAGTAATTTTGTTCATGCAGGAAACCCAATATATCATTCGATGTATGATGACTAATATGGATAATTTTTTTGATGTCAAACAGAAACGATGATCAAGAGGGTGTGGTGAAATCGTGGCCAAAATTTGACTGTTGGTTTCGGGTATTTTATAGGGAAGGATCAATTTATAATAATCATATAGTTTTGAAAGTTTATTGTAATTAATAACGATATGGGTTGTTATTGTGTAATTTGTAAAAAGTATGTCATTAGTAATTTATGAGATGTTTTGATATTTATTGTAATTTATAGAAATGTTTGTCTTTTATATCATTTATAAAAAAAAGTGCTGTCCTTAAATGTAATTTACAAAAATATTCTTTTATTGTAATTTATAAAAATTTATAAATTTGTTTATTATATTTTAATTGTCACCTAATATTGTTGAATCGAGGATAAACCAAATATAAAAGAAAATTATTTTTCTAGTGTACTGTAGCATTAATTATTATTGAAGGGACATAAAGTTGATATTTAACCATTTGGGAGGTGGGCATGACCTCTACTAACTCCCTCACTCTAACCCTATATAGATATTTTTCTAATTTTATATTTTTAATGGATCATGTGGAACGATGTGAGGAACATTTGCTTACGAAATCATGAACTACAAACAGAAACGATTTGTTTATTATATTTTAATTGTCACCTAATACTGTTGAATCGAGGATCAAACCGAAAATAAAAGAAAATTATTTTTCTAGTATAATGTAGCATTAATTATTATTGAAGGGGCATAAAGTTGATATTTAATCATTTGGGAGGTGGACATGACCTCTACTAACTCCTCGGCTCTAACCCTGAAAATGATATAGATATTTTTCTAGTTTTATATTTTTAATGGATCATGTGGAACGATGTGAGGAACATTTGCTTACGAAATCATGAACTACAACAATTGCTTCCATCTTCTTTGTGTTCTGTCGGTACAATGTTTCATAGTTTCCTTAGCTGTAGCTGTCAGGAGTCTAATGACCGATCAGTTTGCACTGCTTGAGTTTAAAGATCGCATCATCGATCCTCAAGACGTGTTGGCAAACAATTGGACGACCTCCAACTCTATCTGCAACTGGGTTGGTGTTTCTTGTGGAGTCATCCATGAAAGAGTTGTAGCTTTGGATCTCTCAAACATGAATTTCACGGGTACCATACCCCCACACCTCGGAAACCTTTCGTTTCTACTTTCTCTTAAGTTGAGCAACAACAATTTTCATGGCCATCTGCCAAATGAATTGGGGCACCTGCATCGTTTGAGGCTCATTCAACTAAGTTTCAACGACCTTCATGGGGAAATCCCTCAAACGCTTGCTAACATGTCCAAGCTAGAGATCTTGAACTTGAGACACAATCAACTATCTGGTCGTCTGTCATCTTCCATCTTCAAAATTACAACTTTGAAGCATATTGACTTTCGTGATAATAGCCTTTCTGGTTCTTTGGTCCATGATTTGTGTGTACAGCTTCCTAATCTTGAGCAACTTAGCTTAGGTAGAAATGAATTATCAGGTTCTATTCCATCAAGTATGGGCAAATGCACAAACCTTCAAATCTTGGAATTAACTGATAATAAGTTCAGTGGGGTCATTCCAAAAAGCATTGGGAATTTGACACAACTCACTGAAATATATTTAGGGTTAAATAACCTGGAAGGTACCTACCAATTTTCCCTGGATTCTTTAGTCTAAACATATTTGTGATATATATATATATATATATATAAAATTGGCTAACAACTAGGTTTTTTTGTTTATGTTTGTAGGTAAAATTCCTGAGGAAATGGGCAATCTTACTAGTTTAGAGGAGCTAAATATTCAACTAATTGAAGGTCTTACTGGTCAGATTCCTGCTTCCATCTACAACATTTCTTCTCTGAGGTTTATTGTTCTGGCCAACACTAGTTTATCAGGTGGTTTGCCAAATGATTTGTGTCGTCATCTTTCCAAGCTTGAAGGACTTTATTTGGACACGAATGAATTATCCGGTAGTATTCCTTCGAGTATAGGTGAATGCTACAACCTTCGACTTCTACAATTATCGAAAAATCAATTTTCCGGGACCATTCCAAAAGGTATTTGGAATTCAACCATGCTCCAAGAGATAAATCTAGGTGCAAACAAATTAGAAGGTATGTGCTTTTCCAAGTCCAAATGAAATCTATTTAATTTGTTTACTCCTTTTATTTAAATTCTAAACAAATAAATTCTTATAGATTATATTATTTTAAAATTTACTATTGGATGCAATTTTAACAGGTGATTTACCGCCCATGATCAAGGTTCCAAAGCTTGAGTTGCTTTTGTTATGGAAAAATAAATTTAGTGGAAACATTCTCAACTCTGTCTCCAATGCTTCCATGCTCAAGAGTCTAGACATAGGAGATAACTTCTTCTCTGGCCTAATTCCTGATACGCTCGGAAACTTAAGACAGCTTGAATGGTTCCGAATCTATAACAATTATTTTACGACTAATTTTGAGTGGAGCTTTCTTTCTTCTTTGGCTAATTGTAGGAATTTGAGTCGAATAGGTGTCTCAAAGAATCCATTGAATGGCATTCTTCCCACTTATATTGGGAACCTTTCAACATCCCTTCAATATTTTGATGCCATGAACTGTGAGCTTAAAGGTGATATTCCTATTGAAATAGGCAACTTAAGTGGCATGTACACTTTAGAACTTGGCTTCAATAAATTGAGTGGATTTATTCCAGCATCAATAGGAGGATTGCGGAACCTCCAAAGTCTAGGTCTTTCCTCTAATAGATTAGGAGGGTCCATCCCGGAAAGTATTTGTGGTTTGAGAAGGTTATATGCCTTGTTTTTGGCGCTGAATAAGCTGAATGGATCCATACTCTCATGTTTAGGTAATGTGACTTCTTTGAGACATCTCAACTTATATTCTAACAAATTGAGTTCTGCAATACCCTCAACTTTGTGGAATCTTATAGACATCTTAGAAATGGATTTATCTTCCAATTACCTTAACAACTCACGTGCTCTTGATGTTGGAGGTATGAGGAGTGTGATATATTTGAATTTGTCGACGAATCTGCTCACGGGTGATATATCATCTTTCATTGGTGCTCTTCTAACTTTGATATCATTAGATTTATCCAATAATAAGTTACATGGTCATATCCCTGAATCATTTGGTGGTTTGGTTAGTTTGGAGTTCTTGGACTTATGCAATAATAGTCTTTTTGGAGTCATTCCCAAGTCTTTGGAAAAACTTCCACATCTAAACCATTTTAATGTGTCTTTCAATAGACTGGAAGGAGAAATTCCCACCAATGGATGTTTCCGAAACTTTTCTAGCTCATCTTTCATGAATAATTATGCACTTTGTGGTCCACCTAGATTGCTAGTCTCACAATGCCAGAATAACGTCCACAAAAATCGCAAGATGACAATATTGCATGCCCTAGGGTATGGTATACCAACGATTGGTATTGTATTGGTAATAATAGTCTTGACTATCATGTACAGAAAATGTCGAAATAGGAGTACAACTCTATCAATTAATGATGATTTGTTACCTTTGGAAACATGGAGAAAAATTTCACAAGATGAACTTTCACGCGCAACTGATGGATTTGACGAAAGGAATCTGCTTGGTTCAGGGAGTTTTGGATATGTATATAAAGGGAGGCTTTCAGATGGAATGGAAGTTGCAATAAAAGTTTTCAATTTGCAGAGAGAAGCAGCATTTAGGAGTTTTGATGTTGAATGCGAAGCTTTGCGTAATATAGTTCATCGTAATCTTGTCAAGGTCATTACTTGCTGCTCCAATGTTGATTTTAAAGCCTTGGTGCTTAAGTTCATGTCTAATGGAAGTCTTGAGAAATGGTTACATTCTAAAAAGTGTCCCCTTGATATCTTACAAAGGGTTGACATAATGATAGATGTTGCAGCAGCTCTAGAACATCTCCACACTGGACATCCTACGCCTACAATTCATTGCGACCTAAAACCGAGTAATATTCTACTTGATGAAGACATGGTTGCACATGTGGGAGATTTTGGTATTGCCAAATTGTTGGGAGAAGATGATGGAACGACACAAACCATGACTCTTGCAACTATTGGATATATGGCACCAGGTGAGTCTTTAAAGTTATTTTTTTTATAATCCCCCTCCCCCTTTTTACATTTTAGATATTGGTTCCATAGATATGCGAATATATTTGGATTTTAAAAATATTTGAGGATTTATGATGTTTTAATTATGTTTGAAATGCAGAATTTGGATCAATGGGAATTGTTTCTGTGAAATGTGATGTCTATAGTTATGGGATTGTCTTGATAGAAACTTTCACAAAGAAAAAGCCAACTGATGAAAGCTTTGATGAAGAAATGACCATAAGGCATTGGGTGAAAAGTTCATTATCTAAAGGAATAACAAATATTGTGGATGTTGATTTATTAAGAATAGAGGATGAGTACTTTGCTGATAAAGCAAATTGTATTTCGTCCATCATGGAGTTAGCTTTGGATTTGTCAACTGAGATAGCAGAAGAGAGAAAAGATATGAAGGATGTTGTAGTTGAGCTAAAGAAGATCAAGCAAAGGTTTCTAAACAGCATCAACATGTTGGATAAAGATGGTAAGCAAATAGTATGATTATGGTTGTCTTGATTTTGTCATTAATCCAACCTTTTAATTATTTATTGTAAAACGACCTTAAATTTCTATTGTCACGCTGCCTTCACCATGAAATTTCTACATTTTATACTTTGTAGATACTCATCAGAGGAAGTTTACATTCTGCATTATATGTTTTGTATACATTGTATTTATATAGTTATCCAGTTTATTTTATATGTTCTTATTTTGTTTTTATTTTAAACAAGTGTTTGCATGATGTTCCCCACAACCGAATGATGAGCTTGTATGGGAACGCCATAATAGGGGCTGTTTCAATACAAAATCATGATATAATTGGCTCCCGATACAAGCTGGTATTGAGAGGGATCATCGTCTATTTGGACAACCCTGACAAAACTTCCCACACTCCCCAAGATTAAAATTTTTGGATGAAGAATTGGCCTCGATGCGTTCCTCACAGGATCTCGACTGGATGTTGCTGGGATTGGAAATGGATTATGTCGGATGTGTAAACAAGAAAACGAGACACCCTTGCATGCTCTCAAGGATAGCTCGATGTCCAAGGAAGTCCTCACCCTCTCGGGATTGGACGTTTCAATCATTACAGCTCAAAATTCTTCCTTCAAAGAATGGCTGGAAAGAGTGGCCTGATCACTTGATCGAGAAGGTCTAACCAGGGTATCAAATTGTTGCGGAAGACGGCTATCGGATAAGAAAAATCGCAACTGATAATTTGAGAAAATAAAAATGAAGATAAAAGATACACAAAATTTACGTGAAAAACCCCTAAATAATATAGGATAAAAACCACGGACAACGGTAGAAGAATTTCACTATGAGAAAATAAGAATTGCAACTTCTCTCGATCTACCAAGGAGAAAACAATGATAATTCTCTCTTGATAAATAGGAGAAAACAACTCTCAAGAAACTCTCTAAATTCTCTGTAGTATTGTAAGAAAGCTAGAATGCTTTGGGATGGTTTTGAAGCTAAATGAGCTATGGTATTTATAGTTGAAGCTTAAGAACTAATTTGTAAATACCCTAAATTACAATGACTAAAATTTTTATTTTTCCCTTTCGTTTTTTCAACAAATTCCAGCTTGAATTCGGTGCAATAAATGCACCACTTTCACCGAAAGTTTCCCAACAATTTCCACCGAAATTAGCCTACAAATGTTGACTTTTCAACAATCTCCCACTTGAAGATTTGATTGGAACAATCATATCTTCACACCATTCTTTCTACCTTGTACCTTCATGTTGCTTACGTCTCTGACAGGCCACAAGAGGATCGACACCAGGTAAATTTTTCAGCATTGATTGCCTTTGTCAAGAAATCTGCTATGTTATCTTTGGTATGGATTTTCTACATATCTACCGTTCCTTCTTCCACCTTTTCTCGAATGAAGTGGTATTGTACTCGTATGTGTTTTGTTCTTGAATGAAATGCTGGATTCCTTGCTAGATGCAAGGCGCTTTGACTGTCACAAAATAGAGAGACATACTCTTGATTGTGCCCAAGCTCCTCCAATAGCATCTTCAACCAAATTGCTTCTTTATTGGCTTGTGTAACTGCTACATATTCTGCTTCTGTTGTGGATGTAGCCACAACTGACTGCAACTTAAAAACCCAGCTTACAGCTCCATCAGCAACTTTGAACACATATCTTGTTGTAGATTTGCTTTTATCCAAATCCTCTGCATAGTCAGAATCGACATATCCATTGATAAGTAAGTTTGATCCTCCATAACATAATGCAACATTTGAGGTCCCTTTGATGTATCTCAGGATCCTCTTTACTGTATTCCAATGCTCTTTGCATGGATTCACCATGTACCGACTAACCACTCCCACTGCTTGTGCAATGTCTGGTCTTGTGCATATCATAGCGAACATTACACTTCTCACTGCTGATGCATACGGTACTCGAGACATCTCCATCCTTTCTTCTTCAATGCTAGGACTCATTCTGGAGGATAATTTGAAGTTAATAGGAAGAGGGGTAGAAATTAGCTTACAATCTTGCATGTTGAATCGTGACAAGATCTTCTTCAAGTAATTCTTTTGTGAAAGCCAAATCTTCTTATTATTTCTGTCTCGGTGAATTTGCATCCCTAGAATCTTGTTTGTTGACCCCAAGTCCTTCATTTCAAATTCCCTAGCCAGTTGTGCCTTCAATTATTCAATATGATCTTTGTTGGGTCCTGCAACCAACATGTCATCCACATACAACAGTAATATAACAAAATCGTTATAACCAGACCTCTTGAAATAAGCACAAGGGTCTGAATTAAGTCTGTTGTATCCAAGGCACATAATGAAGGAATCAAATCTCTTATACCAACACCTCGGTACCTGCTTTAGATCGTACAGAGATTTGTTCAACCTGCAAACCAAGTTCTTCTTTTCTTTTTCTTCAAAACCTTCAGGCTGAAGTATATAAATCTCTTCTTCAAGATTTCAATGAAGAAAAGTTGTTTTAACATCTAGTTGCTATAGATGTAAGTTCAATGTAGCACACATTGCCAAAATTACTTGAACTGTTGTTAGTCGAACCACATGAGAAAATATTTCATTGAAATCAATACCTTCTTTTTGAGCATATCCTTTGACCACCAGTCTTGCATAATACCTCTCAACTTGATCGTCGCCATTTTGCTTGATTTTAAAGGCCCATTTGTTACCAATTGGCTTCATTCCTTGTGGTAGTGGCACAAGGTCCCATGTATTATTTTTATGAAGGGCTTCAATTTCTTTTTGTATCGCCATCATCCACAGTGAAGCATCTGAGCTGTTTATTGCCTCCTGATATGTTGATGGCTCACCGTCCTCTGTTCAAAGGCAGTATGCAACATTTCCTTCTATAACATAATCTGAGTGCCAATTGGGACGTCTTCTCACACGATCTGATTGACGAGTTGTTGGAGCTTCATAACTCTCTGGTTCTTGTTCATCATGTGTTGGTTCTGCTTCAGAAGAATCTCCTTGTTCAACCTCCTTTTCCACATCTATCTATGTAGTCTCTGACTTTTCAGCGCTATCATATTCTACAAAGATAACATCCCTGCTGAATGTCACTTTTCGGGTAGTGAGATCCCACAAGTGATACCCCTTTACACCATCAGCATACCCCAAGAATTTGCATTTCCTGGATTTTGGATCCAGCTTTGAAATTTCTTGGGAGTTGTAAATCACGTACACAATACTTCCAAATATATGGAGGTTTGAATAATCAGCTGGTTTACCAGTCCACATCTCCATTGGTGTCTTCAGCTCTATTGTAGTTGATGGAGATTGATTCACCAAATAACAAGCGGTATTGACTGCTTCTGCCCAAAATGATTTATCTAGGCATGCATCCCTCAACATTGCTCTTGTTCTTTCTAACAAGGTTCTGTTCATCCACTCTGCCACTCCATTTTATTGAGGAGTGTTCGTCACTGTGAACTGTCTTTTGATGCCTTATTTCCTGCAAAAGTCATCAAATTCTTCGCTTGTGTATTCTCCTCCATTATCTGTTCTGAAACACTTGATCTTATTTCCAGAATCAAGTTCCACCCGCGCTTTGAAGTTTTTGAAATTTGAAAACACATCTGACTTCTTCTTAATAGGGTACACCCATCATCTCCTAGAGTAGTCATCACTAAATGAGACAAAGTATTTTGCTCCACCTAGGGATGTAACCGGTGCTTGCCATACATCAGAGTGAACCAATTCTAGAACACTTTTACCTCTAGAATTTGACGTGTTGAATTTCAATCGGTGCTGCTTACTTGTTATGCAATGCTCACAGAAGGTAAGTGATACATTTGTTAAGTCTGGAAGTAGCTTTTGCTCCACAAGGACTTTCATTCCTTGTTCTGACATGTGTCCAAGTTTCTGATGCCATAGCATTGCCAAATCTGAACTACATGAGGCAACAGAGGCTTCTGCTTCTACCAAAGTCTCTCCCTTCAGCATGTACAAGTTTGCAGCTATCTTTTCACCTTTCAACACCATAAGCGCTCCACGGAACACCTTCATGATTCCTTTTCGTGTTTCAATCTTGCTTGCATTATTATCAAACAATCCGTAGGATAATAAATTTTTCTTCAAGGCTTTCACGTTCCGCACATCTCGAACAACTTTAATTGTTTCATCATACATATTCAATTTGATGGTTCCCACGCCAATGATCTCTAAGGCATGATCATTGCAACTATACACAGATCCTCCTGAGACAGGTTCATAATGATGGAATCATTCTCTTCTTGAGGTCATGTGATATGTTTCTCCCGAATCAATGATTCATATGTCTACATATCTCTTTCTACCTTCTACGGTGGTTGACGCTTCACAACATAGAGCATCTCCATCATCTGAAGTGTTTGGAGTATTGCCTTATATAGATTGGAGTTTTTATTTAGACTCCAACAATCCTTCTTCAAGTGACCCTTCTTTCCACAGTTGTAGCACTTTAAATTCTTCTTGCTTCTCGACTTCGATCTACCATGTTTGTGACTGCTACTTTGGCCACGTTCTGTTGATCTCCCTCTCATCGTTGTCAACGCTTCTGCTTGTTGCAGATTTACTTATCTGTCTTCCTTGTTCTTGCACCGATTTTCTTCTTGTAGAACAACAGCTGCAACATCATCGACGATTAGAATGGTGACATTACTGTTTGTCAAGTTGATAATGAGTTGATCATACGAATCCAGTAGACTTTGAAGTAGAAGTTCAACACGTTCTTGCTCTACTATTTTACAGCTTAAGGATGTAAGCTGAGAAAATAAAGTGTTCAGTGTGTGTTTAAGTGATCCGTCACTGAAGTAGATTCTGGCATACGAAGAGTGTACAATTTTCTCTTAAGAAAAATTTTATTGTGCAGTGATGTGGCCTCGTACAATTTGGTGAGATGATCTCATGTCTCCTTAGTTGTCTTCTTCTCCTCGATGCTTGACAATAACTCATCTGCTAATGCTAGATGAAAGTTTGCCATAATATTTCCGTCCATTTCGATCTATTTGTTTTCATCTGTGAAATCTACCGGCCTTTCACTGATAGCTGCTACACAACCGTCTATCCTCAGGATGACCTTTATATTCAATTTCCACAATGAGAAATTTATCCCATTGAATTTTTCAATATCAAATTTCGTTGACATAGCTTCTTTACGAATAGCTCCCACTATTTCACTATCGTGAATAGTTCTCTAGAACCTTCAAAGAATGGGTAATAACTTCTTACTTTCTTATGTTGGATGATCCACCTTTTGGTGGTAACCACAAAGACAATAAGCAGATATTACACACTCTAATCTAGCTCTGATACCAATTGTTGCGGAAGACGGCTATCGGATAGAGAAAAATCGCAACTGATAATTTGAGAAAATAAAAAAGAAGATAAAAGATATACAAAATTTACATGGAAAACCCCTAAATAATATAGGGTAAAACCACGGACAACGGTAGAAGAATTTCACTATGAGAAAATAGGAATTACAACTTCTCTCGATCTACCAAGGAGAAAACAATGATAATTCTCTCTTGATAAATAGGAGAAAACAACTCTCAATAAACTCTCTAAATTCTCTCTTGTATTGGAAGAAAGCTAGAATGCTTTGGGATGGTTTTGAAGCTAAATGAGCTAGGGTATTTATAGTTGAAGCT